ACTTACAAGAAACACATTTAATTCAAAGACTGAAAGTCAAAGGATGGAAAACAATACATGGAAGAGGAATATGGAAAACAACAGGGGCAGCTATTCTATTTGCAGACAAAGTAGACTTCAACTCAAATCAACACTGATTAAGACAGACAAAGAAGGTCACTACATGCTTTTAAAGGAACGATCCAAAAGGAAGAGATAACAAATACATATGCACCAAAAACCAGCACACTTAACTATATAAAACAAATATTAATGAACAGGAATAATCAGATAAGCACTAACTGTAATGGGAACCTCAATACTCCACTGTCACAAATAGAAAGATCAAGTAGACCAAAAAAATCAACAAAGAAAGATCACAACTAAACCAAATTTTTGAACAAACAGACCTAGTAGATGTGTGGAGTGTCCCACCCCACATCAGAATACACACTCTATGCAGCTGCACATGGGATGTTCTCCAAAATAGACTATGTACTACCTCATAGAAGATGCTTAAATTCAAAGGAATTAAAATTACCCAATGCATGCCGAGCGTGGTGGTGCATGCCTGTAATACCAGCACTCGAGAGGCTGAGGCAGGAGGATCGCTGTGAGTTTGAGACCAGCCTGGGCTATATAGTGAGTTCCATTCCAGGTCAGACTCAACTACACAGTAAGACGCCGTCTCAGAAAAAAAAAAAAAAAAAAAAAAGAAAAGAAATTACCCAATGCACTATCAGACCACAGTACAAAGAAATTGGAAATTAACAATAAAAGAAACCTCAAGAACTTCATAAACACATGGAAATTAAATAACACCCTCCTGAACAACCAATGGGTCTCAGATGAAATTAAAGAAGAAATCAAACAGTTTCTACAATTACACTATAATGCCAAGACAACATACTGGAACTTATGGGAAGCAATGAAAGCAGTCCTATGAGGGAAATTTATATATGTATCAGTTAATTCCCGTATCAGAAAAACAGACTATGCCCAAATAAACAACCTAATGCTGAACCTCAAGCTTCTACAAAAAAGCAAGCCACATCCAAAGCTCATACAAAGGAGGAAATTAATGCAAGAGCAGAAATTAATGCAAAGGAGACTAAGAAAACAATGCAAAGAATCAATGAATCAGAGTTGGTTCTCTGAAAAGATTAAATAAAATTGACAAGGGCCAAGGATTTAGCTCAGCGGTTCGGTGGGCTGCCTTGCAAGCACAAAGACCTGAGTTCAATCCCTGGTACCAAAAAATAAAATAAAATAAAGTTGACAAATCCTTAGCCAACCCTATCTAAAAAAAAGAGGAGACTCAAATCCATGCAATTCGGCATGAAAAGGGTGAAATCACAACAGACCCTGCAGAAATCTAGATCAATACTTACTTCAAGAACCTAGTAAGATGGAAAACACACACAAAAAAATGGACAGATTCCGAAATACATATGAATTACCAAAGGAGAATCATAAAGATATAAAAATTATAAATAAAACAGCATCAGTCAATGAAATTGAAGATGTAATGAAAAACCTACCAACAATGAAAAGCCCAGGCCCCAATGTATTCACCACTGAATGCCACAAGAAGTTTAGAGAAGACCTAATGCTGCTAATTCTCAAGCTCTTTAATGAAACTGAAAGGGAAGCAAGACTCCCAAGTTGATTCCTGGAAGCAAACACTACCCTGATATCAAAACTAAAGGGGCTGGGGATTTAGTTCAGTGGTTCCACTGTCTGCCTTGGAAATGCAACAACCTAAATTCAATCTCTGCTACCA